GTCCCTCCACTCATGGGCTGTTCCATGAGAAGTTTCATAAAATTAATGCTGAATTGCAATTTTGATGATTGGCAAGAGGGTCAGGTACAGAATGCAGAGTAGATAACAGCAACTGGGAACTAGGCTTTCAGGAGGAAGGGGCGTTGTGAGACTGAAGGATGTGGGAAGGCCTGATCTGTGAAGACCAGGAGGTGAGGTGGAGGGTGTGGGTCATCCCTGGCAGATAGGGGTGGGTGCGATCATTTGAGGGGACAAGGAGAGCTGGGGCCTCAGGTTGGACTGCAAAGGGCCACTGGTATAATTGTTTCACTTCTATTGTTTTCTGAGTCTGGGTCCTCAAGTGTAAGATGGGGGTGCTGGGGTGGGGGTAGGGTAGGTGCTGGGGCGGGGGTGGGGGGCGGGGGAGCTGGTACTGTCTTGGGAGGGGGCGGTCCCATTGCCACCCAGGATCTGTGCGTTTTCTCCAGCTCTGGGATGGCCCCCTGCCAGGAAGTGTTTAAGAAAAGCCCCAAGCAGGGGACTCTTTGATTTCCCCCTTTCCTGCTGTTCTGAAACTCCAGAAGACAGAATCCTGGGTTTCATTCTGACCAATGAAGGTGGAGCTTACGAGCTGCATATTTTTAGCTCAGATAGCATCTCCCAGCATATTTTCCCAGGGAAACCCTCCACTTTTTTGTCTTGCCGGAAGCTCTGGACTCCCCAGCCAGTTCAGCATCTGGGAATCAAGGCGGGAAGAGGCTTAGACAGAGCACAGACTGAGAAAATCCAAGTAATTCAAACCAGATGTGGAAGCAGGGGCTGGTGTGGGGGGTTTGCCCAGAAAAAAAAGCAAATGTGTCTTTGTGCCCATCCCACCTTTATTTCTCTTTAGGGACCAAAGGCAGGAACCACCAACCCCTCCCAGCATAGACAGAGGCTGGGGGCAAGAGAATTATATTCTGTGTCCCTAAATCACTAAAAGCTCTACTGAGGATAGTAACATACCAAACCCATTAATTATGTGAAAGCCTTCCTAAGGCAGTAAAAGTCACACAAAAGGTTATAAAAATTCCACTTGAGCTGTTATATTATGAATTACCCTCCTAGTCCTCTCTAATTGCATCCTTACAATTTTGATTGAAAGCTCTGAAATCCTCGAATTTAGTTTGATACATTATAGTATGGTGACTTTAATGTTATTAAACCATCTGCATCTTATTTACCAAATTATTAATGCCACCAAATATGCCACAGCTTTGCAAAAATGCCTGCAGATGTGACTTTCAAAATCACAGCAGATTAATTTGTGGATCCAGCGTGGTTCAGCATATCTATTTACAGGTTTTTTTTTTTCTTTTCCAGTAGGAGGAAAAACAGCTTATTAAGTTTGATTGATGTTACTGGGGTAATATGAAAAAATTCATTGAAAGTTCTAAATCATACTATTAAACTGTTATAACATGTGCTATCTCCCTGACCACTAGAGCTATCTTGTACAACCAAAAAATGTATGTGGATAGTGATGGGGCCCATAGACCTGCACGTTGGCAAATATACCAAAGATGACTGAATTTAATTATCACTGCATATTTTAAGCATTCTGTTAGGGGGCAGTGATGTTTGGATGGATAAAATAAACACATGTGTAATTCATAAATGTGTTTATATTTATTCTAGATATTTCATTTTTCTGGCCTCCATTTTGACATTGTTATGTTCATATCATCAAGATTTTTCCTTCCGCAGGTTTATTGGGGTAAAATTAATAAAAATTATATATGTATAGCAGAACAATGTGATGTTCTGATACACATATGCATTCTGAGATGACCACCAGAATCAAGTTAATCAACATTTAACACTTCTATCCTCTCACAGTTGCTTTTTATTTTTTTTTGGGTGGGGTGAGAACAATTAAGATCTTCTTTATAATCAAGGTTTTATATAAATTGCATTCAATTTGAAGAAATTTTGTTCTGATAAGGGTATTGTCAACAGAATTTTTAAAGCAACACTTCTTGAGAAATGAACCATACATTTTATATAGTACATCCAGCTACTGCAAGATATTTTCATTTCATACATTGTATCATGTAAATATCTCTTATATTACAATTTCACTGCTTCTTAAAGCATTATGTAGAGCACATAGTAGTTCTAGAAATATTCTTTCAAAATTTTCAATTCTGGAGTATTCCAGGGAAACCTCCCCAAAGCAGTCCGTGGCTCATTTGTTCTGATCTCCTTCAGTCAGGTCAACACTTTGACCTAGGATGGTCAAAAAACATGTTGTAAACAAGCTGGCTTGGGATTGTCTGGATGTGACTCTTCTTTTTAGTCATCAACATTCTTTTTGCACTGTTTCAATTTCTTTATAGTCCATGGAAATACCATTCTCGTTGTGTCTTTCATTTGTATTTTCATTTAAGAAAGCTAATCTCTCTAAAATTTGCAAAAATACCTCTTAATTTTTGTCTATTAGACAGACTTGGGTTTTTTTTTATTTGGGGGGTATTCATAATATTAAGCAACAGTTCATAGTAAATCACTATAAGTTGGCGTAAATTTAAAGTGAATTTTAGGGCCTCCCTGGTGGCACAGTGGGTTGAGCGCAGTGCTGTGAAGCTGTCCGCAGCCTCTGCAGCTTGGGTTCGATTCCCGGCCCTCTAGGGAGATTCCCACATGGCATGGCAGACCTCTCCTGTCACGCCCGCTGTTCCCCTCAGCAGTGCTTTTGATCCGTCTGCCTGTTCTGCTCCCCACTCTGTCTCTAGTGAATCCTCTCACCTGTGCTTTTGACCTGTACCCCAGCTATTGTATAAATTAAAAAAAAAATAAGTGAATTTTATTTTCCTCCAAGACCAAACCCCTCTTTATTTGAGGTTATTCTATGGTTTCACTGAACCCTTTCAGTGCAGCTTATACTTGCCTAAATTAAATCTAATAACTTTAACAGCATTTTGTCAATAATTTATAGAGCATCTGAAAGTGGTTATAATGTACAATCTAACATGCTTCATAAAATTTCTATTTTGGAAAAGCTCCATAAAATATTGCTCATAACATTTTTGTTCTCCCAAAAAGTGACATCCTTAGAAGTACAATTGTAACCATGTTTCCTAGTGACCAATGGCTCAACAAATGACAAACCTCGTTTTATTGGGCTCCAGAGATACTGTGTATTTTGCAAATTAAATATTTGTGGCCACCCTGTGTTGAACATGTTTTTCAACATGTTTTTTCCAAAAGCGTGTGCTTAGTGGGTGTCTCTGTGTCACACTGAATGGGAGTGTGTATACTTTCTAAACATGATGCTATTGCATTTAATAGTCTATGGTCACTTGTCAACATGGCTTCTCAATGTACCATGAAATCAAATGATTTGTGAAGTTTACTTTATTATGATCCTCATTTTATCATGGTGTCTGGACCCAAACCCTACCGTGTCCGAGGTATGCCCATATGTTTTTTATGTGGTGCAAAAAAAGTTCTTAGATTTTCAGCTGAAAGCACTATATTGTAGTCTTGCCTTTGTTTCTCTTACCAGCATGCTTCTGCAGCTCAGCTTCACCAATCTGCCAAGCAGGGGTTCTCAGCAGTGGCATGACCCACAAACTTTGGTTGTATGGTTTCCAGAATGTGTGCAGGAGATAAGGAACAACATTTCACAGGGACCCAAAGAGCAGGTGTTTGGTGTTACAGGTGAGCTAGCAGTGAGCATCAGATTTGTAGTGACAGATGCGTGGTCTTGGGGAATCACTGTGTAATTGTGACATTCAGGTAAAGTGTGGAGGTGGGGCAGGATCATGTGAAATCTAATCTAAGCCATGAAGGTCAGGGTTGGCTCTTGTCCAGCTCATGATATTGGTAGATCCTCTTCAAGCTCTCGGTGTTCTCATCTCCATGCATGAAAGTCTCATTTATCAAGTTTTGGCAGAAATGGAACATCTTCGATGAAGTCCTTCCTGATTTGCTCTCACCCTCTTCATCTTACTTTTTTCAGCTGGAAAAACACTCTGACCTTGTAAAATACAGGGTGTGGCCCTGTCACCATGCGGGACCCTTACCTGAGTCAATTCTCCACCCAAAATCCCAGAAAATCGAGTGACTACATACATCCCTACATCTAGTTTTGGCATCTATACTGGCTGATGAGTTATTGTGATAATGAAAGTCCAGCTTTGGAACTGGGTTCAAATCCCAGCTGTCACTGGGATACACACACTGCAATACACACTGCACAGAACCCATAGACTTTAAGACTGTGGCCAACAGAAAGAGGGACAAACAGCATTTAGTATGGTGCCCGCACAGCTCATTAAATCTTAGTTCCCATCTTCCTTTGAAAACTCAGCAGTCTAGAGTGTAGGGTTACACTTGGGGGAGACTAGACTAGAGATCTGGAAGGACAGGAACTCTTCTCTATACTGGCAGTGCAAGTCAGCTTGTAAGATGCATTTACCCAGTGAGAGGCAAAACAAACCATTAGTGCTGTATCTCCTTCCATTCTCTTTCAGGTTGTGTGCTTAGGAATCAACATGGGGTGGGGGTTGTTGCTAGGGAAGGGCCACAGGCAGGACTGGCTAGCTGCAGTGCTGTTTCAAGTCTCACATGATATTTGGGGAGGATATCAGATCCCACTTATTCTTTAAGGTATAGGTTGCTTAACATTTCTTTTTCTTCATTTTGGGTCCTAATTGTCTATTCTGGGGAAACAGAAAATGTCCCCCAACCAAAGTCCTGTTATGGGGGTCATAGATGCAGGGGAAATTGACCCCAGAGGGAATCCCCCACCTCATCAAGGAGCACTCACTATGTGTGAGTGTGGAGAACTGCAGTACTCCAGTCCAGGTTCAGCACCTCCAGGCTCCCACCACCTCAGAACCCGAATGCACCTGCTGCCTTAGACAACTCTGTCCTGGGTCCCAGACTTCACGGGGCATCAGCTTTAACAGAAACTTCCGCAGATCACCGAGAGCTGGGATACGACCAGAAAAGGAGACCAAGAGGCCGGTTTCACTAGTTCAGAAGCAGTTTTAATGGAGATGGAAATGTGTATCAACTCAAATGTGTACCCCAAAATACAAAGCAAAATATGATTCATCTTCAGCTGCATAGCAAATATGATTTAAGAATTCAACATCATGATTTGATCACAACCGTAAATATAAGTCACCATAAATAAATGTAAATTCATTGTACAAAAATCCCCAACAACTCTTAATACAAATATGGTACATTTGACAGTTTCTGAAACAGAATTTTTTTAAAACTCTTTAAAACCTAAGTTTTTTTTCCTGGTTCTTAGACACACAAAAGTTAAAAGGGGGGGGCACAGTCAGACCAGGGAGGAAAGATAGGGAACCTGTTTGGTGTTTATAAATAAATGCTGCTGGCATGTCGGGGCAATGAGATGTCTATCCTGAAGGTGAAGCCCTCAATTTACTGAGCTTGAGTCTTGAGAGTAGTGGGATTCTACCCAGTGGGTCCAATTCAGGGATACAAATGCAGAGTGGGTGGGGTGGGCTGTTGAAAGAGCAATGCCATCCACTGGATGACCCAAATCTCCACAAAAGCCACAGTTAGGAAGATGGAATAAGCACTACATCTTCATACCCAGTCATTTGTCTGTAGGAGCAAGCCAGCTACTGCTCCTGCACAGAACTGAAGATTCAGAAGGCTCAGGAGCTTGGAGATACTGTGAGGTTTATGAAGGCGTGTTACCAGTTACTTCTATCACATCACCCCTCTCTTTACCTCTGGGGAATCAAGAGGAAAACACAGGAAATCAGATTAGGAAGAGACAGCTCCAGACAGGAGGATCTGCCTGTTCCCACACTGACCCACTTTCCTTCCCAACAAAGGTTTCCTTTTGTGGCTCAGAGGGAGCTCAGAGGCAAGGTTAGCAGTGTAGACGGCCTCTATGGCAGGGGTCCTCAGACCTCCATTTGAATCATTCAGATACTGTGTGGAAAGTGAAGATTTCTCCACTCTACTGCCAGATGCAGGATGAGAGGGTTTAGGGTGAGGTCCAGCAACCTTCATCACAGGTGCTAATTGCAGGAAGCCTGACGTAGGTGGCCCCTGGACCATACTTGGCGAGCCACACCTCTCCTCCCTGGTGAGGGTGAGTGTATCACCCAGACCTCTTGCTGTGGACACTCCTTGGCTCTTTCCATGGGCTTAAAATAGGTCAATTAACTAAGGGAGCCACTCCTATTCTTCTGCCCTAAGGGAGAGAATCATTATAGTTTGGTCTCCTCTCTTCCCTGGTCTGAGGAAGAAAGAGCAAGTGTCTTTATGTGTTCTTACAAGTTCAAGATCACAGACTCCCCCTGAAGATGAGGTGGTGAGGAATCAGACGACAACTTCCCAAAGGCTCCTGTCCCTCTCCACAGCACCCCCTAGCTCTGTGGGAGACTCCATGGTCAAGCTTGGCAAATGAGTAGCTGTGTCTTGGTGAGGTCCACACCCACCTCAAACTCTCAGCTAAGGGACATGAAGGGAGTTGAGAGCCACAGATAAAATGTCCCTGGAATCTTTTAGCTTCCTCAACAGCGAGTGTCCTGATTCACTAAACCAGGACCCTTCTTTGCTATCAGAAAAAAGTGTTATTTATACTCCCCCGACCTTGTGATGATTTTGGCTTCTCTTGAAATAACCTCTTTGTATTTCTTTCTCATGGGAGTTTTCCTTGATGAGTCTACAAAGAAGGGGTCCCTCATTTGGTGTCTGGCAGACACCATGAGCAACACGTGCCTGCTCTGTTCAATGCTGCACCCCAGTGTCCACGCCCTGAGCACTTGGTGTTCCAGATCTGTTTAATGAATCAAGGACCCATCCCCCATCCAGCTGCCCAGGTATCAGACAGCTTTCAGTTTAGGGCTCTGGAACTGCTGGCTGTGTTCATAAATACCAACCACTTTCCCACCCTGATTCTACTCAGTGGGACACGGGGAGAGCGCATTCCTGAGTTCTTTCTGGGAGTGTCCTGAGAGCGGTGTTAGGATGTGATCTGGGGCGTCTAGAGAAGGCCAGAGTCAACACCATCTACCAAGGCACCAGTACCAGGAACCTCATGCTTTTTTTACTATGGATCTCAGTAGCCGGCCCAAGAGTACTCTTGCCGTAGAATCCCTGGCATCTGGAGCAGAATCCCTGGTATCTGGAACTGGGGGTAGCAAGTCAGAGGAGGTATGAGGCCAGTAAGCAGAGGCTTGTCGGTCAGGCCAGGCTGACACTTTAGGGCACTGCCACACTCTTCTCTTGATTTCTGAGACTTCAGTCTTGGGGTCGCACATGGGCATTGGGTAGGAAGTCGCCCTCTTGGGGGGAGGTTTCAGGAAGCAACTTCTGATGAGGGTAGGGCTGTGAGATGATGAAAGGGTAAAGCTAGGGTTCTTACCATAGAAGAGTGAACAAAGAAAGAAAAAGCACATACTTCCCTGTTTCTTTTTTTTTTTTTTTTCATTTACACTATGGAAAAACCACCATGGAGATGTCATGGAGAGCATGCACAGGCCCAGCCCTTAGGAGTGGTGTAAATGTGTTGGGGACGTTCTTGTTTGCTTCAGGTCCATCCCACATGTTGTCCACTTGGACCATGTTGCAGGCTGGCCTTGGATTTCTCTCTCCTGCTTTTCTTCTGCTCCAGGTTGAGGGTCTGCAGCCGGTCACTGCCAGCTAGCAGGTGGTGGCCAGGGACTGGTGGATGGGTGGCTGGAAGCAGCGCACATGCTCCACTGTGGAACTGTCTGTCTCCACGGACTTCATATACTTGTTCAGGATGGCAAACACCTCATTGTTCAAGATTTGGTACTTCCTGATCCTGTCTGCCATCTTCTTCAGGGGCTGTAGAGGGGACAGACACATGCAGGTTAGGGCAGAAGGAGGGAGCAGAGAAATAAAGCACTAGCAATGGAAGAATTCAGTGAGGTTGGAGTTCAGGGTCTTGAACCATATAGACCAATCGAATAGAGAGTCTAGAAATAAGCCTTCCATATATAGGTCAAGTGATTTTCAACAGTGGTACCAAGGCCATTTAATAGAGAAAGGACAATATTTTCAACAAATGGAGTATCAAAGAATAAAGTTGAATCCTTAAACCATATTTTAAGAAATTATCTCAAAATGGATTAAAGCCTTAACCATAAGAGCTAAATAATGAAAAATTCCTAGAAGAAAACACAGAGGAAAAGACTCATGACATTTAATTTGGCAGTAATTTCTTGGATATGACACTGAAACACAGGTAATAAAAGAAAAAAATACTGGATTACATAAAAATTTGTCTGCATCAAAGGACACATGAGCAGAGAAAGGCAACTCATGGGATAAAAAAATATTTGCACATCACAGATCTGATCTGGGATTAATATCCATAATATATAAAGAACTCTGCAATTCAACATTAAAAGTAACTATATTAAACAGCAAGAAAAAAACATGAATAGACATTTCTCCAAAGAAGATAAGCAAATAGCCAATAAACACATAAAAAGATGTGAAACTACAATGAAATATCACTTCATGCCCATTAGTACGGCTATTACCGCAAAACAAAAAAAAACCCCAGAAAATCACACATTCTGGGAAGGATGTGGAGAAAAAGGAGACCGTTGGGCATTGCTGCTAGGGATGTTGCAGCCATAATGGAAAATAGTATCACAGTTCCTCAAAAATTAAAGCGAGAAGACCACACAACCTGGCAAAAAATACCACGTCTATGTATTTACCCCGAAGAAATGGGAGTGGAGACTTGCACAGATATCTGTACTCTCATGATCGTAGCAGCATTATTTACAACAGCCGAAAAAGGTTGAAGCAGCTCAAGAAGGATGAATGGATAAGCACAAGGTGGGGAAGAGTCATGGTGAAACTTGAACACGTTATTCTAAGGGCAATACACTTGTCACCCAAGCACAAATATGCAGGCTTCCACCTTTGTGAGGTAGCCAGAGTAGAGAATGGGCCGTCATGTTGAAGGGACACAGAGTTTCCTCTGGGGGAGATGAGAAACTCCTGACCACGGATGGTATGATGGTTGCATAACTGTGCGTGTACCTAATGTAATACCACATACTCACAAATGGGTAAATGGCCAATTCTGTTCTGTAGATTCTCCCACATAAACAAAGATCCTTCATGAGGTGGTTCCTGCCTCTCTCCCCTCTTGGCTTGTCCCTGAGACCCATCCATGGTTTCACCCACACATCTTTTCACCTCTGTGCCTTTGCTCTAGCTGCTGTCTTGCACCCTGGTTACTTGCTGCTGGTCATTATGGACTTAGGCCAAGCATCTCTCCACAGAAGCCTTCTCCACTCCCCTGCTCCAGGCACCCTCAGCCTGGTTTAGATGTTCCTTTATGATGTCCCACAGCAGGCTTCTCACCCCATCTCTGAGCCTGCACACAGCAGTCACCTCTGCAGCCTGGTGTGCATGGCAGGTGCATTTCAGGCTGGGAGGCAGCCTTGCCTTGTGGGGTGACCTGATTCATCCTTGGGGTTGGGAGCCAGTGAGTCAGGGCCTCCTACAGAAGGTCCAGCATAGACAGTCTGCACCCCCCTGAGGTGTGGGGTATGACCTCCATAAGCAGCCCCCCCATTTCTGTCCTGATGCCAGGACTGGCCCATCTCCCAGGCCACTCACCACGTTCTTGATGATTTCGTCCTTCCCGTCCTGTCTCTGGACTTTGAGCAGGTGGTAGCAGAAGTCAAACAGGTCAAAGCGCCGCTGCTGACCCAGCAGGACGATGATGGAACAGCCAGCCCAGTTCAAGCCGTCTCCGAAACACTGCCTGTGAACAGAGAGGGGGCAGTGGGTGAGAGCGGGAGAAGATGGGGCAGAGTGCCCTTGGCCTGGGCCAGAGGTCTGCTAGTGACAGGCCCAGTCCTAGGCCCCTTGTCTTAATCTAATGGGGTATAGGGCTGTTGTGAGTATGGGCTCTGGGCCTGTGGTTTTATGAAGAGACCTTCCAGTCACAGAGATTTTAGTCTCTCACCCCGTTAATGACAGGAGAACAGCTTTGGAGGCCCAACAAGGTTGCAAGGAAAATTCAACCAGCCCTTGAGACTGACAGAGGTCACAGCTTAAGGAGACTCTGTCTTGGCTTGTAAAGGGGCCAGAGGAACAATCTGGAACTTTAGGGCCATTTCAAGCCAGGCTATAGTGAACTTCGAGGGCAGGGACTGGGTGCCATGGGTGAAAGCGCAGTAGTGGTGCATGTGTGTGTGGTGTCTGAGAGTCCTCTTGGGTCTGGAAAAGTCAGCCTGCAGGCCTCCAGCTCCCATCAGCAATCTGGCAAATTAGGAGGCTGTGGAGTCACCTCTGCTGTCTTTCTTGTCCTCCAGCAGCAGCCCCCACCTACACCAGACAGTTCCTACTCCCCACAGCTGCGATAACTCTGAAAATAGCCTGCCTACTCCAGTCCCAATCCCTGGAGAGCCTGCTTGCTCCCCTCTTGTACTTTTCCCTTAAGGTTCTAGACTCCTTAGGGGCAGGCCTGGTCTGCCTTCTTCACCCCTTGGGTTCTAGATATGTCACTGGTTTTGTGAAGAAAGAACCAGGCTCTACTTCTGTCTTTCCTGAGGTCAGGATGGAGGCTCAGGAGCCATAATGTTAGGCCCTGACCTCTGCGAGGAAAGCTTTCCCCTATTCCTGAACACTGGAGTGTGTTGGGGTTCAGGTGTGCAGTGAGGGTCTTGATGCTGAGCCCTTCCAGGTTTCCTCCCACCCCTTCCCTCAGTCTGGCCTCCAGTCTTGGTAGACTAAGCCTGAGGGCTTGAAGCCCCTTGTGTAGACTCATTTCTGCCTCCCACGGTTCTTGGCCTTCTGGAATGTCCTTTTCCCTGTCTAAGGGCCAAGTGCTATGCAAGTCCAAGGTTCAGTTCTAGTCTGTGAATTGAATTTGACAAGCCCTTGTCTCTCCTCTCAGGCACCTGTCACCTTCCTGCCCTGGCTGCCAGCATCCTCATTCCATGGACCTCATCTCTCCCCTGAAGGCCAGGGCCCATCTACTGCTGCTCTGCATCACTGTCTGTCTAGCACCCAGTGTGGTGACCAACAGGGCACACCTGGGAGACACCAGGTCTGGGTTTTCTACTGCAGGGAGGCAAATATAGGAGCAAAGAAAATATGGCACTCAAGCAAGTCACAAGAATGCTGGGTTTCTCAGCACCTATAAAAGTTATGTGTATACTGCAGTGTCATCTATTAAACATGCAAGAGCACTATGTATCTACCTTGATTAAAAAACATTGGCTAGACAATGCTACCCAGTGTCTGAGCCTTCAATAAGTTGTGATCTCTCAACAGGTGGCAGGTCATGAAAACAACCAGTGTCTGCGAAGCGTGTGGTATGTGTTCTGGCCATATGAGCTCAACAAACACTTGCTGGACAGCCCACTTGGCCCCTCCTCCTGGCTGAGCTCTGGGGACCCTGGGACTTTCAGTGGGAGACAAGCAGGTCAGGGTGACTCTGCCTTCCCAGGAGAGGGACTCACTCAGCTGTGAACTCATTGGTGCCCACAGGGATGCAATAGACGAACTGCATGGCGCTCCAGAGCCGGTGGAACTCCACACACTCGTCCACATGCATGACGCCATTGGTGGGCGGTGGCCCCCGCCAGATGGGGTCCTGCAGGTAGCTCCGAATGCGGGTCAGGATGACCTCGAACATGGACAGCCCGCAGCACAGACGCTCCTTGGTCAGCAGGTCGCCCTCCCGGGCGATGGCGATTTGCTGGGAAGGGAAATACATGAACCTTCACTGAGCATCTCGGACCAGCAGTCCTCTGGCTGGACAGCCCCCAGCCCCAGGGCACCCACGTGATACACCTGAGTGCCACAGTGGGGAGTCTGTGGCAGGTCTGACTTGTGGTCAGTAAAATCTAGGAGCCACTGATACAGGAAGAATTTTACAAATGTCCACCCACTCCTATAAGGGCGTGAGAGGGAGCCACTAAAAGACTGAGATAGTAGCACGGCTACTGGTCTTTCTGCGATGGCAAGACCATTGCAACCACCAGCTCATACTCAGTGTGTGACACACCAGTGCGTGCTTGCTGTTCCAAGCATTTGAGAAGTACTGGTGCCACCTATTTCTCCTGGCAACCCTGTGAATTAGGTGCATATTAATCCCCACTTTACAAATGAGGAAACCGAGTGTCAGAGAGGTAGCTGGTGAGTTAGCAAAGCAGGGATTTGACTCCTGGTGGTGTGGATCTATGTCAAATTGCAGGTTGAAGAGAAGGGCTATGCTGCAGTCCTGCTAAAAACCATCAACAACACACAGGCAAACAAAACTCTGTGCGTGTGTGTGTGTGTGTGTGTGTGTGTGTGTAGAACATTGTAGGATGAACATCAGTTGTGGGAGTGGATGGGCTTGGAGAAGTGGGTGGAATCTCTGCTTTTCACTTTGCATACTTCTGCATACTTGGATGTGTTACAAAGAGCATATGTTACTCTTTTAAAACTTGCCACTGATTTTATAGAACTATTTCCTGCAGTTAGAAGTCTTCTAGCCATTGTAAATGGTCTCTATTAATAATTTAAACTGGCTTCCCATCTGTGTCCTGGATGCAGCAGCGCCAATTATAAGCTAGACAAGCACATCAAAATATATCAGAGCCTGCATTATAAATACAAATACCTATGGTAGAGGTCCTAAGAGCCATCTGCAAAGCCAGACAGATATGAAAATCTGAGTTCAGAGTCAAGTCTCCAAATCTAGGGACAGACCTAAGAGGAGCTGGTTTCTGAGACCAAGTGGCCCACAGGGAACCTCTGGTATCAGTTCCCTGAGATAAGGGCTCTGCAGAAAGCTCATTTTACAGGGGTAGGGAGAAGCTGGCCTCACTTCCCTTTGTCAGTCTTCTCTCTGGAGCCCCCAGAAAGAGGGCAGTTTCTAAATGAGTCCATAGAGGGAAATATATCAGCAAACACTAACGCTGAGGCCTGTTAGGAAAGTGGGCCATGAGTGTGGTTGTCATGACAACTTAAAACTAAAAGAAATCTAGGGAACAAAAACATGAATTGGGGAAGAAGCATTTGACAAATATGTATTTCAAACAGAGAAGAGACGGGGGGCTGAATCCCAGTGACTCATAGTTCAGTGGGCAAAGAGAGGACAGCTCCGGGGCAGAGAAGAGGCCACTCAGGTTGGCAGTTAACAAGAAATAGCTCTTTCTGAAAAATCAGGCCCAGTGTGTGCCTCTGGTCTCACTTAATGTCCTTTATGTTGATATGGTAATGGCCCTGACTGATGGAAAGGCGGGAGGGGGGGGGGCAGTTGAACTAGAGCAGTGTAAGTTGTTAATTAGAAAGCAATGACTTGTTTATAAAGACACAGACCTGTCAAAGGCAGGGACAGGTTGAAAACCTGGCTATGCAGACGCCTGATCTAAATAGAAACTAATGGGTGGTCTCATAACATACCTCTGAAGTGGTATAAATTAGGCACTAACTTTGAGCCAATTTGCTCCAAGGTTTGGCAAGAGCCCCTGGGGTCTCTTCACCCCAAGAAACAGCCTCCCCCCTGCAGGTGGATGGATGCCAGGAATTCCCGGGGACCGGGTCCTGCCTGCTCTATAAGCTGATCTCCTGAACTTGGCCAAGAGGTTCAATACCCGACCTCTTTTGCTGCCAGCTGAACACTGTGCTTTTATTATTGCAATGTGGGTACCCTCTCAATAAATACAAATGGTGATCATATGCGTTTGGCTTGAGTTGTGAGACCTTCCCACTGTGGAAGTTAGCGCTCTAGATTATCAGACCTGATAAAGCACCTGGTAGCTCTACATTGGAATTTGATCTCACCTTCAGAGAGAGGGTGCTTGGGAAAGGAAGAAGTGCAGATTATAATAAAGGACCCGTTATTTGTTCTCAAGTCACAAATATTTTTCTTCATAAATTAATGCAGAAGTAGAGATTACTTGTTACTCCCTGGTGCATTAAGTCTGAGTCAATCAGTGTCTGATGGTTGTGGGGAAGGGAGGGTGAGTGGGAACTAAAACATTAACAATGGGATTTGTAAGTCTGCTCAGATTTTGAACTTAGGTGCCCCCGACCACAGCCAACCAAAGGCCGCTTCGCTGAAATAGTACAGGCTTTGTCCCTTTCCTCAAAATAGTGTTTATCTTACAGTTCTTCCTGTGAGCTATAAAACATAGCTTCATAAAATCTGGAAAGCAATTTTTTTAAGTTATAAGAAAATAAAAATTTCCCATAAATCCATTACCCAGAGAAGCACATTCCTAAAATACTGATGTATGATTTGTGTTTGTGTTTATGATGTGTGTGTGTGCATCTATACTTCACTGGGGTTGGATTGGGTTGTCTGTATCGCTTTTTTCTTTTACAGTATCAGCCATCCAAACAAACCATTTCCTTCAATATTTTCAGTAATGTGATTTTTTTATGGCTACATAAATGGCCACTGATACACCTTCCTTTACTCCCTTCTCTACTCTTGTTGATTATCTTAAATGGTTTACGAGTTTTCATTATTACAGACAGTTCTTAGTGCTTTTTGAGCTTCTCTCTGATGATTTCTTTAGAATAAACCCTTAGAACTGTTTGGTTGAAGAGTCCAAATATTTGGTTGTCAGAAAAGTCATGACTCCTTTCTATGTTTTTGTTTTTAAGATTTATTTATTTATGCATACAAGAGCAGGGTACAGGCCAGAGATGCAGGGGGTAAGAGGATTCACCAGAGACAGAGCGGGGAACAGAACAGGCAGACTACCTGAAAGACACTTCTGAGGGAAGCAGAAGGCAAGTCAGGAGAGGTCTGCTGCACCATGTGGGTTTCTCTCTGGCCGGCTGGGGATCGAACTAGTGCTGCAGAGGCTGCAGATTGTTTCATAGTGCGTTGCTTAACCCCTTGTGCCACCAGGAAGGCCCTCTTTTCTATGTTTTTCAAGCAAAAATTTGTCATGACTTTTCCGACAACCCAATATTTCACAAGGCTTTGCTATGTAGTGGCAAACTAGCACGGAGAAATGCTGACCTATCTGTGCAAAGCCTGTCCCCTTGATTCTCTGCTGTCATGGCAGAAAGGTCTTTGCCAACTTGAGAGATGTAAAACCATACCTTGTCCTTTCACACCCTGTTTCATTCATTGTTTGCAAGGCTGAATACTCATTCCTATGTTTGTGGGCATTTACATATTTTATGTCATGACTTTTCTTTCATGTCCTATCTTCTTTTGGTATGTCTATTATTTTCTTTTTGCTCTGAAAAAGATGGTTTGCTGAGAAAGCCCTCCACTTGCGTTATTTTATGCATTTTTTCTCTATTACACTTAGTGTTGCTGGGAGGAAAGTGCTATCTCAATCCACCTCCTTTATCCCATAGTTCATGTTTTGGGGGGATCTTTAACTTATTTGTTCATCCTAACTATCATGAAATGCAGTTCATTTCAGGAGGCAAAACAGCTATTAAGTTCATTTCCTAATTAGCAAGACATAGTAGACAGATGTGGAGTGTCTAACATTAAATTATGGGACAATTCAGGGGTGAAGCTGGGACAAGGACCCCCATCTTTGACTCCTCGCCAGAGTGTTCAAATCAAGTCCTTCAATTTGTCCCAGAAACAAAAGCAAACACTCTAATTCTGTTAAAACCTCCCAATTTTAAATAGCTGCAGCATTTCCCTGTCATTGACCTAGACGTGATGTGAGTCCCCCACATCCCCACTGGCATGGAAGCCAGTATTTTAACTTGTCTTTGATCTATGGGAGTACTAAGTTTAGGACTATTCCTGGAGGGCTAGACGATTTATAAAACTGACATTTCCTCTATGCTTTTGTTTGTTAAGTACTCAGCCTTTGACAACCTGAGACTTCTATCAGTTGCATGGAAATGTGCTTGCAGATGGGAAGGAATTCAGGCTGCTAAGTGGAAGCACATGCCAAGGTCTGGGTGCGAGAGGCCAGATTCTTGTAGAATGACACCACTCGTGGAGCAGACACATCTCTCTGTGCCGGCTAGGCGGGTTTCTCCCTAAAAGGCAATGAGAAGCTCTCTTCTGGTCTGTGAAGAACCCACATGCCACAGAGGGTGCAGTCAGGGTTTTCAGTGAAGGTAGGTGGCAGGCAGGGCCCCAACAAGGGCTGCTTGTCAGTGTAACACCCAGCAAATGGATTCTGCAATGCACCCCAAATACCTGCCATGTTTTTGGAGAGAAGAGGCTACTTCTGCCCCCCGTCCAGGATGTGAACCCTTCTTGTCTGCAGACTTGGGACCATGGGAGAGAGGACGCTGGAAGGCAAGGCCCAGAGCTGACTAAATCTGGAAACTTTTCAACAGTCAGCCTTTGGTCCACCAGGCGAATACCTCATTTTTTTGCCACAGGGCCTATCTCCTCTGGCTGACTGCTCCCCCTGGACCTCCAAACTTGCAGACCCTAAAATCAACTTGCAAGGAAGGAGACAGCACAGGTGCTTCACTGCTCTTTTCCCCTCATTTTCTCCTCTTTTCCTGATGCCCCCTGTAGAGTCTCTGAGATTTCTGAAGGTGGGGGTCCTGTCTTATCCAGCTCCATTTTCACAGCTTTGTAAAAATTAGCAAGAATCATAGAATGAACACATGAGCTGATTCACCTCTGAAAATCTGAGAACATGACAGAGAAAATGGAGGCCTTTGTCCCTGCCCCCCACCCATGCCTTGCTCATCTCTCTTCAAATGTTGCCACCAGTATGAAGCAGGTCTGTGTTTGTTTCTAGGAAAACTTTTACTTCTACGGTTGCTTTTCTGTTTTTCAATGGTATCATTCTATAGGGTGCAACTTGGCTTCCTCCACTTAGCTTTGTATTTAAGGTCTGACCATACGATGCATCTAGATTAAATTCTTCCTTTTCATTATTTTGTGGTAATTATTCAGCATTGAGCTGCTACACCACAGTTTATTTAGTTCTGCTGCTTTATATTTGGGTTGTTTCCTGTTTTTCACTTTACCAAACAACGCTACAATAAACATCTTGAGTTCTTGTATGCATTTTTCCTAGCAAGAGAGTCCAGGAGTGAACAGCTGGTTCACAGGATGGATGGAGTTTTAATTCCAAGAAAACTAAGCATATGTTTGCTATTTAATAGACATGTGTCTCACCATCTTCTTTCCTGACAGGATGGATGATCCAGAGTGGAGAAGAAATAAATGGGGCCTACGAGTCAGCAATCTCTTTCAAGACCTGTCCTGGCCACTAACAGCCTGTGTGAGGTTAGCCACTCTCTACTTTCTCTGAGCCCCAATTTCCCCAACTTTAAAAGGGCCAAATGCTCTCCCTCTGAAATTCCTTTTGGTTCTCAACTTCCTTATACCTGGGGTGTCCCGAGCCGCTCGATCAGAGGAACCAGGTGAAGCGGGGCGTACTTGGCTTCCAGACGTTTCATCCGTACTTCCAGGCGCTCCCCCTCTGTAACAGGAGCAGCAAGACAGAAAATGAGGTTTGGGCATGTGGTGGGGGTCAGAGCATAGATCAGAGAAGGAAAGCTTGGGGGCAGGTGGAAGAGCATGTAGACCTGTTCTGCAAAGTGTGATCAGAACCCATCACAAAGGAAAATGTTCAATGATCTCTGTCCCACAATGGAATCATCACTCCACGGGGTAGTGAGTTCCCTATCACTTGAAGGATTTAAATCAAGTCTAGCTAACAACATACTAGGAATGGTCTAGAAGGATCAAAGCACAAGGCTCAGAGCGTGATTTCCAATTTTGCAATTCTGTGACCAAATCTTTCCCCCTCTCCCCTTCTGACCGCAGATCTGAGTTTGTTGGGATTAAGTGAATGTGAGGTCAAAATGCAAGTTAGCCATCAGCTGTTGTGGGTGGCTTCTTACCTTTGATATAAACTCTAGGTAGGATGTTTTGGAAGGGCGCAGCATGTAGCAAATCACAGACTTCCTCCTGAGACTATAAACAGAGGTGGAGGGAGAGAAGGAGAAAACAATTTTCATGTTAAACCAGGAAGAATTTTCATTCCTAAAACTTGAGCCCTGGAGTCATCCAGACTTGGGTTCAAATTCTAGCTCTTCTACGTACTAGCTGTGGTATCTTGGGCAAGTTACTTAACCTTCTTTGCCTATTTATTTAACTACAAACTAAGAATGAGAGTAGAACCTGTTTTAACGGGCTGTTGTAAGGACTGGGTGAGAGAATGCACAGCCTCATAGCGTAGTCCCTGGTACTTTGGTAATATGTAATACATTTTTTTTCATTAAAATTTTACAAGGGATTTGTGAGGAATTCAAATGCATGACAGAGGAACCAAGCAAAGACGGTGGGCCCCAGACTACATTTAGCTGGTTGTGAGGCCTGTAGGTTCAAAGGAGTGGCTGGACTAATCTCTAATACATTAAATCCAGATGATTCTGGGTAAGGCCTGTGTCTGATGTTTTTCTGTACACTAGACACCAAGTAGTGAGGAAAAAAAGGATGAGAATCTATGACAGGTAAGTTCTGATGATAACTTGTTAAATATAAAAGTAAGCTTAAAAGCAAGCATGTACTGGGAGGGAAAAGTATGGGGGAGGACAGGTTGGGAAGATATGGTCTAATGTACTGAAATTAGTTCATGACCTCTGGATTTCAGAACGGAGAGAAGCCATCCTTTATTGGAAGTTGGTTCCTCTTCTTTAAACCATGAGTGTTCATGGTCACCATGCACATTAATTTGGTATTAGCTGTCTTAGCCAGATCAATTAGACAACAATAAGAAATAAAAGGAATCTTTATTGGAAAATAGGAAGCAAAACTGTCACTATTTGTGGATGACATAATAATATATACATTGAAAACCCTAAAGACCTCAATAAAAATGATTAGAAATAATAAGTACAGTGATGTGGAAATCTATATAACCAACGACGAGAAATCTTGTATTCCTATATACAAAAAAAATGAGCTAGAATAAAAGGAATCAAGCGAGTAATCCTTCTCACATTGTATCAAAAATGATTAACTACCTAGGAATAAATTGAACAAAGGAGGTGAAAGACCTATACAAACTATACCTATAAAAACTACAAGATATCGTTAAAGGAAATAAAAGAAAACACAAAGAAATGAAAAGATATTTTGTGCTCATGGATGGGGAGAATTAATTTTGTTAAAATGGCCATCTTACCCACAGCAATATAAAGATACAAAGCAATCCCTATTAAAATTTATAAAGAAATAGAACATACAAAACTAAAATTTATATGGAATCAATAAATTCCCCAAATAGCTAAATCAATCTTGAGGGGGAAAAAGAAGAAAAATTGAGCCCTCTCATTAATTAACTTCAAAGTATACTACAAAGCATCAGTAATTAAAAGGTACAGTATTAGAATAAAAATACAAATCACAGTACTAGAATAAAAAGATCAATACTGGAATAAAAGGATCAATGGAGTAGATGAAGAATCCAGAAATAAACCTGCATATATGTCAAGAGTTAATCTGCAAAAATGGTGCCACAGCCATACAGTGAAGAAAGGGAAATCTCTTCAACAAATGGTGCTGGGAAAAGTGGACAGCCATATGCAAAAGAATGAAGTTGGATCTCTCCTTAAATAAATTCAAAATGGATTAAAGATTTGGACACAAGACCCAAAGCCATTAAATAGATAGAAGAAAACACAGGTTATACATTCTATGACATTAGTCTTTTTTTTTAACTTTTAAAATTATTTATGATATATATATAAAACACATCACAGTTCATTTTTGTACAATGTTTGATTTCTCCTCTCAGGTGTAGTCCTATAAAATTCCCACTACCAAGTCACCTATGAACCATCACCTTAGTCTCTTTTGCTCTTCCTGTCCCTGTTTTAATCCCTCCCCCTCCCCTGCTGATTTATAGTTGCCTGCTGGTCTATGACATCAGTCTTATGCTAAGATTTGTCCTCAGTGTCAAGGGAAACAAAAGTATAAATAAACAAATGGGACTATATCAAATTAAAAAGTTTTTGTACAGCAAAAGGAAATAACAACAGAATGAAAATACAGCCTACTCAATGGGAGAAGATATTTATGCATCATACATCTTACAAGGAGTTGATGTTCAAGGCATATAAAGAACTCATACAACTAACCACAGAAACAAAAAATGGGCAGATATGAATAGACATTTCTCCAAAGAAGACTTACAGATAGCTAACAGGCACATAAAAAATGTTCATTATCACTTATTCCTAGAGAAATGCAAATCAAAACCACATGAGCTATCATCTCATACCTATGAAAATAGCATACATCAAAGACTAGTAACAAGTGTTGGCAAGGGTATGGAGAAAAAGGAACCCTTACACACTGTTGGTGGAAATGTAGATTAGTGCAACCAATTTGGAAAACAGTATGAAATTTCCTCAAAAAAAAAAATAGAACTATATAGTATGATCCAGCTTCTGGGTGTGTCTCCAAAGAATATGAAATCATTAACTCAAAGAGATATATGGACCCCTGTGTTTATTAAAGCATTACTTAGAGTAGCCAAGATGTGGAAAAACCTAAGTGCCATTGACAGATGAGTAAGTAAAGAAGATATGGTATATATGTGCTATTGGACACTACTCAACCATAAAAAATGAAATCTTGACATTTATAATAAAATGAAAGGAACTCAAGAAAAATATGCTAAGTCAGAAAGACAAAGATAAATATCAGATGACCTCACCTCTATGTGGAATATAAGGAAACAAAACCAATGACTAGATAAAACAAAATAATAATAAACCAGTGGACTCCAACAATACAACTGAAGTTACCAGTGGGGAAGAGGTAGGGGTGGGACCAAGGGTAGAGGGGGTCTAAAGGATGGTGGTGGTTTTCTCTTTTATTATTAAAAAAAATGTGGGTATTTAAAGTAGTTAAGATTCAGGTTTCATTCAACTCTGATACTCTTGGATCCTAAGCACCTGAGAAAATTTTGATTGTGGGCTTTTGTTATACAGGCTGGGTGGAACATGGCCATTCTGGAAATCTCTAGGGCTGGTTGTACAAGAGGGAATCTCTACCACCTCTACCTCTATCATGCCTAAGACATGATAGCTTCTTAATACTTAGTTATTAAATGAATGTTTCCCCTAAATGAATAAATAGATTCTTTATCCATGCAACAACCTCCAAGTAGAAAGATGCTATTCCATTCACCCAACAACTATGCATTGTACACCACGTACTGGTCGAGGCTTTGCAGATAGGATGTGGAACAAGTTAGACTAGATAATTTACCCTTGTGAAATTCACAACCTAGTTGATAGACTCAGATAAAAACAAGTCAACGTATCAGAAAAATTCAGATGGTGATAGAACACAACAGCATAATACAGACTAGAAAGAGTAGGCGTGGAGAAGGGGTTACCTGACTGAGGGTATTAGGCATGAATTTCTGAGAGGGAGATACTTGAATGAGAATGGAAAGAGGTAAGGGAACCAGCCTTGGAGAGAAGAATGCAAGAGAGCATTCCAGTGCAAAGGTCCTGTGGTAGAGAGTCGGCACAGTGATGCAGGGAATCGGTATAGACATGCAGGACTCAGGGTATAAACATGCAGGGAAGCCTTAATGATAGGGAAGGACTGGATCATGTGGGGTTGCCCTGGCATGGCATGAAGTATGGCTTTTATTTATTTTTGGATTTTATTTCAAGTGCAACGGGGAACTACTTAATATAACCGAGGACTAGTTTATGAAACTCTGTTGTCAAGTTTTCTTATTTTTTCTTGCTTCCAAAAATCTCAGTTGCCCCTGGGAAGGTCATTACTAGGAAAGTTGCCCATTGCACAAACTGTCACCTTTCTATTTTGTTAATGTGCATAAAGTTGATCGTGGAGGCCACCTGAAGGGTGAAAGCTGGGAACAGGCTCTGCTGCTTCACTCACCCCACATGATCAGCTGCTGGTAAAGGATCCTCTAGGGGAGTAGGGGAGACGGGGATGTCCTTATGCCCTCTGTAACCCCCAAGCTGCAAATTGCAGGACTAAGTTCTTTGGGGACATCCCTGCTGCCATGCTTTTGCATGTGCTCCACCTTATGATGCCATTTGTGACTGAAGGATGTGGTTTCCTAATAGAGATGGTGAAGTATTTGCCTGTGAGGTACCAGAGGACAACTGTGTGGCTATTTACATAATGAGGTGGCTACCTACTCTGCAGCACCTTTTCTGGAAAGTGTCTTTTCTTCATCTATTAGCTGAGGCCATTTTGACTGATGAAGGTCCCAGTTGGGAGTGCACACTCAGGCCTGTGTCAGGGATCAGAACAGAACAGCTTCCATTGTGGATGCTTACCCTCACGCGCCACTCCCTCCTGTCTCATCCCTGTCTTTGTTTTCTTTTTAAAAGATTTCTTTTTGTTTATTGATGCATATAAGAACTGGGGTGCAGGCCAGAGGTGTGGGGGATGAAAGAATTCACCAGAGACAAAACGGGGAGCAGAACAGGTGGGTCTACTGAAATACACTTCTGAGAGGAGCAGTGGGCAAGACAGGAGAGGTCTGCTGCGCCATGTGGGTAGCTCCCCGGCCGGGGATCAAACTCATGCTGCAGTGGTGGATGATTGATAGTGCTGAGACTTTAACCCCTGAGCCACCAGGGAGGCCCCTGTCTCATCTCTATCTTAAAGGACCCACACTGGCCTTCCACTCTGCTAGGAACCACAGCAGCCACAGTCTGAGAAGCCATGGGGCGGGGGGGGGTTCCTCTGAACCCCTACTCCTCATCCCCTATCTATTTCTACTCCAGACACGGCTGCTTGTTTGAATGCTGAAATGCTCCCCAGTTTCCTAGCTTAGTAAAGTCATCTCTCTATTTTTTTTAATTTAAATTTTATTTTTATATTCCCCATACAATTACAACCTCCTTATTTTCACCCCAATCCCTCCTTTCACCTCCCCCAACCCCCCATAGAGTGTCTCTGGTTCATAGTTG